TTCAGCCTGGAGAAGAGAAGGCTGAGAGGACACCTGATCAGTGCCTATAAGTACCTCAAGGGAGGGAGTGAAGAGGATGGTGCTGGCCTCTTCTCAGTGGTGGCCACTGACAGAACTAGAGGAAATGACCACAAACGGAAGCACCAAAAGTTCCACAGGAACTTAAGGAACAATTTCTTGACAGTGAGGGTGACAGAGCACTGGAACAGGCTGCCCAGAAAGGTTGTGGGGTCTCCTTCTCTGGAGATCTTCAAAACCCCCTTGGATGCAGTCCTGTACCACATGCTCTAGGTAACCCTGCATGTGCAGGGGGGTTGGACTAGATGATCTCTAGAAGTCCCTTCCAACCTTAAACATTCTATGATTCTATGACAGTTCACAACAATTTTTGTACCCAATGATTTATTGCAACAGTTGCTTTAAGCACTTATGTACTGTTTCTCATAAAAGCGTAATACAGGATGCACATTTTCTACAATGCACTGTTATAAAGTTTAAAAAAAGACGCAAGTTGTTTGCTTCTTACAGACGCGAAGTTTTTCTACAGGTCAGTCTCTCTGGAATGACATTAATTCAGCCTGCAGGGAGGAGGGAAGGGTTTGATCCCACCAACTCATATTTGGGCAAGTCATCAGTCCCTTGCAAGGTGTTCAGCTGTGATACTTGCAGGACAGCCATAGAATAGTAACATACAAAAAACCACAATTTTTCTTCCTATTTATGTAATAGGAGCATCATAGTACTAAGATCAGTTTTACTTTAGCAGTTACTTCTGGTTACTGTGGTTACTGATCTCAGGCATTTTATCTATTTTTGAAGCTGCTTATCCTTTCCAAACTCTTACAGTCTGAAAATAAGTTACTGATTTGAAATTCTTGGAAAAACCTTAAAAGAAACTAACAATAACAAAAAAAAAAAAAAGCAAAACCAAACTAACAAAAAAACTAATGCAGTGAAAGAGATACTTTTACAGAAAGCAGTAAAATTCATGGTATCCAAAACCACAATATAAGTAATTCTTTCACTAGAAAAAGATACTTTTGTGATAAACTCTAACAACAAGGTATGTTGTCTTGGAAGCAGATCCAAGCAGGGGAGTTGGAGGTGGGGAAAGCCCCAGCCAAATAAAGCAAGCTGGATCACTAACCATCATGTAGCTTCAGTTGACTACATTAACAATCCAGTATTGCTTTGTGTATTTCAAGCTTATATTAGAAGAGACCCCTGGCTGGCTTATCTCATCCAGTCTTCTCAATAATAAAGACCACTTTACCATATTAGCCTTACATGGAGTCCAATTTATCTAAAACATAAAAGCATCTAGTCTTGACTGGAAGATGTCAGGATCCATTAAATCCCTTGTTTTTCAACTATTTATCCTCCTAACTGTTAACAAATTGTGCTGAATTTTTTTTCAGTTTTTTTGTCTTTTCAGTTGAGCTTCCAGCCATTCCAGTGGAACACCTTCCTATTCCCACTTTAAAAAAAAAAAAAAAAAGTACATGTTACCTTAAGGAGCAATAGTATATAAACCTTTATTGTTCTACCTTTGCAAGAGTTCATTTTCTATGCTTTTGTATTTTTGACTGCAGTTTACATCAGAAACTTCAGCTCCTGAGAGGTTTAAGGTGGAGTAACAGGCAGCCTTCAAAACCAATTCCATCCCACATCTTGAAGTAATATACCACTTGGGCACAAGTAACCTCTAAGATTAGAATCAGTTAGACTTTCCTCCTCCTTTTCCTGGATTCTTTGTCCTCATTTCATGCCAAGCTTTCACCAGTGGTTCTCTGTTCTTCCATATTAGCTCATGGCCATATGTCACATACCACCTGAGGAAGAAAATAAACAGTGAAAACAAAGTACAGCTCTCCTCTCAATCTGAGGAAGAGGCTGATCACTAAAAGGGGGTAACTAGGATGCCTAGAATACAATATAGGATAAATAGAGGTAGAAATAATGTTTTTAGAAAGCACTTGATAGTGCCATGCAAGTCATGTGTTCTTTTCTGTAACCTCTTTACATTCCTGTCTGTGTCAGTCCTGAGAGAGAATGTTCTTCATCAGCTGAATTTCATGCTTTTGGGATTTCTACTTAAAGATGCACATTATTTTCATTTATCAGGCTGCTAAAACAGCAATGGTTACTGACAACACTAATTCATAAGTATTTCTTATATGTAAATACAGTTGAAATGAACCCATAATGAAGCGCTCCTCCATTGAAAGTGGATGGAGAACCAAGACTAAGATAGTAAACAAAGGTAAAACAGTTCAGACAGCAAAACAGCTGTTCTGATTCTTTCAGACTGGACCAAGTACAGATACAAAACAGGACCAAGCTGAACCCCAGGCAGTTCCATCTCCATCTGAGGAAGAACTTCTTTGCTCTGAGGGTGCCAGAGCCCTGGCACAGGCTGCCCAGAGAGGCTGTGGAGGCTCCTTCTCTGGAGATCTTCCAATTCACCTGGATGCCACCCTGTGCCCCTGCTCTGGGTGTCCCTGCTGGAGCAGGGGGCTGGAATAGATGGTCTCTTGAGGTCCCTTCCAACCTCAACTATTCTGGGATTCTGTGAACAATCTCTACAGCATCTTAGATGCCTTGGTAAGGTAGTTACAAGAGAAACTTGCTGGGAAAGCTTCTGTAAAAAGCTTTAAATTCAACCTTTATTTGACAGTTAAGTATCAAGTAGGCTTTAACCTAATGTTTACAAGTGTTCTTAGTAAGTGTTCAGGCAAGACACAAGTATTAGCAAAATTAAGGCAGAAGACAGAAGCTTATTATGTAATAGAGTTCAAACACAGAGCAATACAGAATTGTTTCCTGCAAAGCAGTTTCTACCTGTCCCCAGTTAGAAAAGGCCCTGAAGGCTCCACAGTGAAAGACAAAAGCAGCAACACTGTAAAACAGCATTAGAAGCTGTTCAAAGGAATTTGGCCTATAACTCTCTAAATAGCCCTCTAAATTGGTAATTAGAGATAACATCAGGATTTTGGAGTGTTGTTATGTAAAGTAATTCAAAATAGGTTTTAATTTGCCCACTGTTTTGTCAGAATCCTTTCAACTCCTCAGTGTGGTGGGAGAGCAGGACAGAGGGAGTGAGCCAGCCAAGGCTGTGGTGACAGGATAACTTGATATCCACTCTGTCATTCTCAGCCAGTTTGGATCAATTCCTTGTAGTTCTTGGCATCGGTTAGCAGTGTTACCACCCAACTAATGGCATCACAAAGGTAAGTGTGTTGTCCTCAGTGCTACTTAATACCCCCTTCCTTACCCCCAGGAAGATCCTTTTCTATGATATGATGAAGAAAAAGTGGGGGGAAATACAGGCTGCATTTGCACAGAAGGAAAATAAATAATCCCTAATGTACCAGTTCCACAAAACAAAGTAGATAAAAACTTACATTCCAAATAGTGCTCCTCCAAGATGTGCAGCATGGTCAAAAAGTCTCCAGCCCAGAGCGAGTCCCACAGTGTCAAATGCAATTATGGCTTTTAAAGCCTAGAAAGGAAGAGTCACAAAAGGGAGAGAATTGGACGTAGTACCTAGTGGCCTGTATTAAGAAACTGTAGAATCATAGAATCATTAAGGTTGGAAGGGACCTCTAGAGATCACCTAGTCCAACTCCTGTGCATATGCAGGGTCACCTAGAGCATGTGGCACAGGACTGCATCCAAGGGAGTTTTGAAGATCTCCAGAGAAGGAGACTCCACAACCTCTCTGGACAGCCTGTTCCAGTGCTCTGTCACCCTCACTGTTAAGAAATTTTTCCTTAAGTTCCTGTGGAACTTTTGGTATTTCAGTTTGTGGCCATTTCTTCCAGTTCTGTCGGTGGCCACCAGTGAAAAGAGACCAGTACCATCCTCCTCACTGCCTCCCTTGAGGTATTTATAGGCACTGATCAGGCCTCCTCTCAGCCTTCTCTTGAGGCTGAACAGGCCCAGCTTCCTCAGCCTCTCCTTTATAGGGCAGATGTTCCAGGCCCATGATCATCCTTGGGGGACACTGCTAAAAACAGGCCTCCAACTAGACTCTGCACCGCTGACCACTACCCCCTGAGCTCTGCCATCCAGCCAATTCCTAATCTACCTCACTGTCCACTCATCTATCCCACACTTCCAGAGCTTGCCCAGGAGGATGTTGTGAGGAATGGTGTCAAAAGCCTTAGTGAAGTCCACACAGATGACATCCACTGCTCTCCCCTCATCTACCCAGCTGGTCATTCCACCACAGAAGGCTATCAGGTTAGTCAAGCATGATTTCCCCTTGGTGAGCCTATGCTGACTACTCCTGAGCACTTTCTTGTCCTCCACCTGTTTGGAGACAACAGCCAGGATGAGCTGCTCCATGACTTTTCCAGGGATGGAGGTGGGTCTCGCTGGCCTGTAGCTGCCTGGGTCCTCCTTGCCATTTTTGAGGACTGGTGTGACATTGGCTTTCTTACAGCCCTCCAGCACCTTCTCTGTCCTCCAGGACCTTTTGAAGGTGATGGAGAGCAGCTTAGCAATACCATCTGCCAGCTCCTGCATCACTCTGGGGTGCATCCCATCAGGGCCCATGGATCTGTCGGTCTCAAGTTTCCCTAAGAGCTCTCTGACCCAATCTTCCTCTGCCCAGGGCAAGTCTTCCTCTCTCCAGGCTTCTTCTCTGGTTTCTAAGGTCTGGGGTTCCAGAGGGCTGCCCTCGGTAAACACTGAAGTGAAGAAGGCATTCAGCAGCTCTGCTTTTTCTGTGTCTTTCGTAACCAGGGCACCCAGCCCGTTCACCAGTGGACCACGTTTTCCCTGATCTTCCTTTTGCCATTGACACATTTGAAAAAGTTGTTATTATTTTTAACATCTCTTGCCAGATTTAATTCCAATAGTGCCTTAGCTTTCCTTGTCACATCCCTGCATTCCCTGACAACATTCCTATATTCCTCCCAAGGAGCCTGTCCTTTTTTCCCTGCTTTCTGTATTCTGCCCTTTTCTGTTTGAGTTTTGCCAGCAGCTCCTTGCTCATCCACACAGGCTTCCTGCTCCCTCTACCTGACACCCTACTCAAAGGAATGCACTGATCCTGCACATGGAGGAAGGGCTGCTTGGGTACTGACCAGCTCTCCTGGGCCCCCCTTCCTTCCAGAGCCCCAGTCCATGGGAGTCTTCTGAGGAGGTCTCTGAACAGGCCAAAGTTGGCCTTCCTGAAGTCCATGGTTTCAAGGCTGCTTACAGCCCTGCCTCCTCCTCATTGGATCTTGAACTGAACCAGCTCATGGTCACTGCAGTCAAGGCTACCCCTCAACTTCACATCTCCTTCCAGTCCGTTAGTACGAGGTTAAGCAGCCAGCTCTCCTCATTGGCTCCTCCACAATCTGTCTTAAACTGTTACCATTAACACATTGCAGAAACCTGCAGGACTGTTTGTGCCTGGCTGTGTTGTCCTTCCAGTTGTTGTCAGGGTGGTGGAAGTCTTCCATGAGAACCAGGGCCTGTGACCATGAGGGTACTCCCAGCTGTCTGGAGAAGCCTCATCAACCTCCTCATCCTGATCAGGTGGCCTGTAGCAGACACCCACCACAGTGTCTCTCACATTAGCCTGCCCTCTATCCCTACCCACGAGCTCTTGACTCACTCATCATTCACCCCCAGGTTGAGCTCCATGCATTCCAGTTGCTGTCTCACATAAAGAGCAACTCCACCACCTTGCCTTCCCAGCCTCTCCTTCCTAAAGAGCACATAGCCTTCCAGGAGCCAGATCTTCGTAACTGTATCACAGAGCAAATACATAGATAAAAAGCTGTTCCAAAACTCTCAAAAGATTTGGTCTTTAGTTGTACCATGCTGTCAAAACATACACACAGGCAACAGAATAAAGCAGGGTTACAAATGTGGCCCCTTCACAAAGAAAGGAAGTTACCTGAAAGTAAAACATGGAGTTCCCATTCACTGACTCTACCATAGCTTAATTTATGTGAAAGAGTCCTTCCAAACACAACCTGCTGGAACACAGATATTCCTAGACGAACATGCAGGGCAACATCCTTATTTTCCATTCAGTAACTATTTCTCACCACTCTGCTTTGTTATTCTTCTGTTAGAGTAACAGTAAAGGAACAATAGGGGCTTTTTTTTTTTTTTTTTTTTTTTTAAGTCCATTAAAGTATATATAAGGTAGTGTGCATATATAAAGTATAAAAATACATTTAAATGGCAAAAACATTTAGTAAAGACTACATTAAAAAAATGAGGTGTATATTGCAATAATCAGGGTGGTTGTTTTGGGGTTTTAATGAACACCTCCTCATGGCAATACTATCTGTGGCTCTGCCTCTGCTTTCAGTAGTATTCCCTGACCATTTCTTTCATAAAAGATGCAATCAGAGTGGCATGCAAACACCTAGGCTCCACTCAAGAATGCAATAAAAACATTAAGGCTACATTTAAGAACAGTATCAGATCTAAAGCAGACTCACAGAGGATGGAATTAGAATAATCCTAAACTGACTATACATGTGGAGAAGTGACCATGGTAGACTGCAACAAACCAGTACAGCATTCAGGACCTCCCATGCTTGTGTTCTCTTTAAAGATAAATATGCTAGGTTACAGACACAGATGAAGACAGGCAATCAGATTCTGTTGAGCAATAAGGAAAGTGTTTTAGGCATAGGATTTCTTCAAAGGCACTTACGCTTCCTGCTGTAAATGTAAACATTGGGAGAAAGATGATGGCTAGCTTTGCTTCTGGCATCTTTGTACATACAGCTGCAAGGACGGTCATTATAGCTCCTGACTGTAAATACAATAAAATACAAGAAAGTAAGTTGAGATTTTTACATGAGGGAAACTTTATTTTTCTGCATGTGAACCTGTTTTCCTTTTGGCTTTCACTATCAAAAGCAGCATGGCAAAGTGTGGTGTCTTGTTTTAACTACTAGCTGTTATGTGGCAGTAACCCTTCCTAGTCTCTATGATCCAGAATATCCTTGACATTTCTAAGTATGCTGAAGAATACAGTAGGCTTTGAAAGTGGCTTTTGAAATGCAGCAAGGTATCTTGTATTTTGAGATACTCACGGCCCCAAGAGATGGTTCAAATCTTCCAGTGGCCATTTTAGCAACGTAACTGACAAAAGTGGAGATAACCCCTGGAAATGTAAAGTTACTATCAGAAAATCATGTCAGCGATATAGACAAGAATCAGAAAACAAAACAATGTTATCTGTATGCTCTCCTAAAGAAGCTAGCAGAGTACTCTTTCCTTTTTAACTTTGAAAACAGTCACCATTTTTTTCAGGTATCCCATATAATTCTGTATGAAGAGCTATTTTGTTTTGGCTACTGACCATGCTTTTAAACCAGGTACTTCTACTTTCACGCTATTTTAAAACCCAGTATCCTAAAGCAATCAAATTCCTGTATGATAGCAAATAAGCACTGCAAGTCAGCAATGCGTGATGTTGAACAACTGCCATTTGTCACTAAAAATACACTTATTAATCCTGCACACATCTTACTTTGCATGAATGCATACTTTTATAATGCTGTCAATATACATATTTAACATTACCAGCAGAAAGATACATTGCTATGAACTGCTCGCATCCCAGAAGAGAGACAATGCTGGTGGAAAAACTCCATAAAACATACATATTTGCTGCCATGTGGAAAAGAGAGAAGTGACTAAATGTAGAGAGCAGCATGGGAGAACACAGGGCTCCTACAAGAGAGAGAAAAGCAGTAAATGAAAAACATTTTGATCTGTGTTAGCTTACACATCATGCAGAGTAGAAACTTACCAAGAGATATTATAGGCTACTGTAATAAAAAACTGAAATGTATTCTAATTCTGTGCTATAGCTATTGTAAAGTAGAATAGGTACCCAAAGACATGCAAGCTGCACAAACAGCTGCTTTAAAAAGTCTTCATTCCTTACAGGGAATGCTTCCAGGGGTGTTTTACACAAAATTCTATCTTATAATACTTCTGTGGTTTCAGAAGTGCAAAAGAGGTTTGAATAAGAATAATGAATCTTATAATGTGGTTTCAGAAGTGCAAAAGAGGTTTATATATGTATATGGTGAAAAAAAAAAATATCACATGAACATCTACATAAAATTGTTTTTGCTAGGGAGTTGGACTGAAGGGAAAGTTAGTGTTCTTTGAAAAAAGCTACTAGCTCTCCTCTCTGAAATAGCCTGGAACATGTAAGAGAGCCAATTAACAAGTTTAAAGGTCAGCCTTGTTTCAAAACAGAACTGACACAGATTTGAATTTTAGCTGTGGGGTTGCAGAGGAGGAATCAATTTAGTTTCCACTTCAGCAGAAATCGGAGGATAGCAGAAGCTTCTTTCCCAGGCATATTTCTCCCATCCTTTTAATTTTTTTCTCTACTGTGTAAATGAAAACTGACTGTTCTGCCTCGAAATACTAGTAATTTGTTTTCTTAAATCAGCCTCTTCTAAGCATTTCATATACAGTGAAAGCTGAGGTTTATTTTATGTGATTCAAAGGCCAGCTCTGAACAAGGACTCTAATCTTGTCTCATGCTTGTCTAAGGACAAAAGCACATATGCAAATGACTAACGACTGCTCATACCTGTATCCCACAGAATATTACGGAAAAAAATCACATTTTAAACATAAAAAATAGCATTCCATAGTATGATTTATTTTTCTCCAAATTCTAGGGTGATTAGCAGCTAGAGTTAGGATCACTTAAGAGAAGTGCCCCCTCACCTTTACAAGGCTGAAACTGTCTGAACACATTAAAAGACCAGTCAGGCAACTGTGTTGACAATTTTTAACTCAAAACAAATTAAGCAAAACAAAACAAAACAAACAAAAAACCCACCATTTTTGTAACATTCTTCCCTCAAAGTTGTTCCTGCCTAGGCAAACTGAAATGTTTTGGCCTGACTGATGAGAACTTGCTTGTTGCTCCATGCCTTACAAGCAAAGCAGTCACCCCAAATCTTGACAGTATAACCAGATGTTCTATTATACCCCAGTGTAGACAAGTCATCATTATTCACTTACTGGAAGAAGGATCTGAGGTGAAATATGTAAACATAATCCGTCGCATAGCAGGCAACCTCCATAAACAGAATACAAAGGCATTTGCAGCTATAATACCTAATGAGAAGGAAAAAAATACAAAAACAAAATTATGTGCAGTAATGCATATGGTAATGTACAAAAACATGCTTACAAGAATCATGCTTTTCCTCACTATTCCATTAAGAGCAGCACCCACCCTTTGTGGAGTTCAGAAAAAGTAAAGAGAAATACAGAAAGCTATGTATATATCTATATATATAATGAAAATCTTTTTAGAAACATCACATTTAACCATAACTTTTAACATACACTGTATTGAATAAACAGTCCCGGAAATCTGCACTGCAAGCACTAAAGCTACTGGTTTCAAACCTCCACTGTAGAGTCAATGAAAGAAGAGCCAACTTAGGATGTCCCATCTTCTGCCTCTCCAGCTGCTTATTCCCAGTTATTACAACTGCATCTGCAGTTGCATTTGAGACAAGACTTATGAAGCAAGTTTTAACTGCACTTGGAGGTGCAGAGAATGAGGGAACTGCACAAACATGTGGTATACACCCTTTTAATCTCACGGGGAGGTCTGCTTTTTCTGTGAGGGACTTGTAAAGATACCGGCTTGAGATAAAGCACAAAGCTGATTTGGCATGGCTCAGGGATTGTCACCATCAGGATATAGCAAATGCCCAGCTTTTTAATATTCAGCTGTTTATTCTTAGTTTAAGTGGGAGTGTAAACAAACAGAAATAGAACGATGCAAAATAAGTGTGATTCTTGTTTAAAATGCCTTTCTTAATTCTATCTAAGTATGTTGGTATTTAAAATGCTTTATAATATCTAGAAACATTATGGGAGGAATAATGGGCTTCCCTTAAAGAATGTTAGCACCTGGAAGTGTTTTGTTTTCCTAAAATGTTTTGGAGATGAGTAAATGACACCATAAAGTTAAACTCTATCATTATTTATTTTAACCTGCTAATAACATACATTCAGGAATACTTAATATAGACTGTATAACACTGGACATGGCTTAGCTCCTTCATTTGGATTTGAATCAAGTTCTCATCAATTTCTCTCCACGTATCATATCTATCATGGGATTTCAAGTGATGTTTGGTTAAATGCACAAAACCACATCATAACTAAAGAGAGGTACATAAGGCGGCCTGTTCTTACTTGGAACACTACGTAAAACAGCAGAAAAAGTATTTCCATCTCACTGAAAGAATGCAATAAATATTGGATAATAGCCACTTTACATAGTAGACCTGTAACTCGTGAGTCTGTGCTGAATGAGAAAGTCATTCACTGTCTGGACGCCTCATGTCTACACAGCCTTTCCAGATAGCACTTACAGAAGCACATAGAAGTAGTACATAAGTAGCTCATACTCCTTCTTAAAAAAGCAGTTGCTATTTTTCCCAGTTCCTGAGAAAGGAATGTTGCAGGAAGAGGGTGAACAGCATTTTTTTTAAATAATGCTGACAAAAGCATTTTGTAAGGAAGAAACATAGCAGAAATAGTGTATCTGCAGGTTTAAGTATATACATGCGTTGTGCCTAGCAACTTAAACATGGTATGAAAGCCATCTGTTGTAACATACTGTACCTGTTTTGCCATATTTCTCTTCCCGTGAATGTCTAATACTTGTAAGCTAACACAAACCTGTCACAGTCCGCTGACCCTCAGTCAGGCTACTCCACCACCTGTTAACCTGAAACAGAAGTGGTACCGTCAGTGCCACAGCCGCTTCAGAAGCAGTCACACGAGGCTCTGCTTTAAGACTGCAAAGCGTTCCGTATGAAACCGTTAGGTAGAGCAGCTTTAAAGTTTTATTTCTTACTGATTCAGTTTTTCAAATGGGGATTTCTTTCTCAAGAGTACCTAGCTACCCTCCTTCTAAAATATCAAAGCATAGATGAAGAGTCTTTTAAACAAAATAGAGTTGCACCAATCTATGTAACTCCCGGGATGCATCTGCCTCCACTAAACAGGGATTTAGCCCATAATTCTTACATTAACAGGTTAACCAAAATAAGTATCAACCCCGCCTTGACTAAGCTTCATCCTGATTCTATCTAATGTCACACCACCCATCTTCAGAGATTCCACTTTTGTGTCAGAGTCACTTTTGCAGAGGTGGCTCACAAGATGTAGAATCCATTCCTCCTAGTATCTGGCTCACCTATCCCTTCTTCAAGTTTAAAATCCCTGGAAAAATTTATTTTGAGTGCAGTCAACCCACAGATATTTTCTTTTTCCTCCCCTTAAACTTCTAGAAGCAGTTTATATTTTGTTACCACTATGACCTTGCAACCATACTGGGGAAGACAATATTATATAAATTAGCTGCAGTGTAAAACAAAGCAAACCATTCTCTGACAGCAAGGTAATCAATTCTGTGTTTTTGTTGTTGTTGTTGAATGCTCTCCAGATAGCAGTTATTTCCTGCTAAGTCCTCCAATAAACAGTGCAGACTTCTGTAATATAACAAACAGAATGTCCTCAAGCTATAAGGGGATCCTGTATTTTTATCAACATAACTGACCAGTGGAGAGAGGCTTATTAGCAACGGAGTAGTTGTATTTTGCTTTTGGATAGCAATTCAATATGCCAGGGCGCATGTCATAGAATCACAGAATCATTAAGGTTGGAAGGGACCTCTAGAGATCATCTAGTCCAACTCCTCTGCACACGCAGGGTCACCTAGAGCACGTGGCACAGGACTGCGTCCAAACGGGTTTTGAAGATCTCCAGAGAAGGAGACTCCACAACCTCTCTGGACAGCCTGTTCCAGTGCTCTGTCACCCTCACTGTCAAGAAGTTTTTCCTTAAGTTCATGTGGAACTTTTGATGCCTTAGTTTCTGACCATTTCCTCTAGTTCTGTCAGTAGCCACCAGTGAAAAGAGGCCAGCACCATCCTTCTCACTGTCTCCCTTGAGGTAGTTATAGACACTGATTAGATCCCCTCTCAGCCTTCTCTTCTCCAGGCTGAACAGGCCCTTGCTCTATCGGTCTTTCCTTATAGGGCAGATGTTCCAGACCCCTGATCATCCTTGTGGCCCTGCGCTGGACTCTCTCCAGCAGCTCCACATCCCTCTTGTACTGTGGAGCCCAGAACTGGACACAAAACTCCAGATGGGGCCTCACCAGGGCTGAGTAGACTTGTTGTCCACCAGGACGCCCAGGTACCTCTGCAGAGCTGCTCTCCAGAAGGTCAGTCCCCAGCCTGCACTGGTGTCTGGGGTTATTCCTCCCCAGGTGTAGAACCTTGCACTTGGCCTTGTTGAATTGCATGAGGTTTTTCACCGCCCAGTTGTCCAGTCTGTTCAGGTCCCTCTGGATGGCAGCACAGCCCTCTGGAGTATCAGCTACTCCTCCCAGTTTCGTGTCATCAGCAAACTCGCTGAGGGAGCACTCTGTGCCTTCATCCAGGTCATTGATGAATAAATTGAACAGGACTGGACCGAGGACTGACCCCTGGGGGACACCGCTAACAACAGGCCTCCAACTAGACTCTGCACCGCTGATCACCAACCCCTGAGCTCTGCCATCCAGCCAATTCCTAATCCACCTCACTGTCCACTCATCTATCCCACACTTCTGGAACTTGCCCAGGAGGATGTTGTGAGGGACAGTGTCAAAAGCCTTGCTGAAGTCGAGATAGATGACACCCACCACTCTCCCCTCATCTATCCAGCTCCATCATAGAAAGTCCCCATGAAAAGTGGTACCACAGCGCTTCCAGCTCAGAGACAGGCAGCTGCATGCGTCCCCCCAGCCCACACTCAGAGCCACTTCCCTACAAGGGTCCAGCTGGGGCCTGACCCATCACAGGCCAGAGCGGTAGTGGGGCACCATTTTTGGACCAGCTATCTCTGCTCTCTCCCCCTTCACCTCTGCAGATACTGGTTTTCGCTGCGCACAGGGGCTGCTGACAACAAGTTCTTTTCCCAATATAGCTTTTACAGTAACACTGTAGGCTGATTTCCTAGAAATAACTGAATTCAGTTTTCTTTGTGTGAAAGACGGATCCTCTAACTTGCTGAGAGGCTGCTCTTCCTCGAAGCAGCAAAGCGTTGCTGGAGGGATTTGTCCCTGGCTCCCGCCAGGCCTTACCTGTTTCCTGAGGTCTCCCCGCTTCTGCGGCCGGACCTTGTCCATCCAGTCCGCGCGCGCTCCCTCCAGGTAGCTCTGCACGCGCGACTTGAGGGCCTCGTACTGCCAGATGGCCGCCGA